AAAAAAAAAAGGTTTATCGAATAAAAATTGGATTTCTTATATCGTATATCCTTTCTCGTATGCTGTACACTTATTATTGTACTAAAAAAATCGTATATTACTGATCGTGTGATCTTATTCAAAATAATATATCGAATAAGAATCACATAGCACCTACCATATATCGTATTTTGAATATCGTATATTATATATCGCACTGCATCACGAAAACTCGTCCGCTTTTTCTACAGCTAATCCTATGCTCGGTACAGGATATCTATTAGCACCCCTCCTTTCAATTATCAAATGAAGTTTATTTATTTTGTTCAAGTTTTTATTTTAGTATAATTTATTTTTAGCTATGATTATTTTGAGAATAATTTAACAAGGCGAACTTTTTCTAAAAGAAACATTTACATTTACACAAAATGAGCAGAACGAATTCTAGGAGGCCGGAAGTAGTTCTCCTTTTTGCCAAAAGTTCTGCGACTCTGTGTCGCCCGAAAATGCAATCAACAGACCCAGATCTATGATGGGGAGAACTTGGCTGCCACACCAGAATTTTTTTTGTTCGCTTCGGCAACATCCAATTATCAGTAATGGGCGACTATAACGGCACGGCTCCTACCTTCAGCTACACAGCTCTAAAGGTCTACTAAAGGTCTCTCTTATGTAAGTTCCACTCGCTCTCACTCCCGCCCACATGTGATAACAGAATCAGCATCCATCCCCGACCCCCGGCGGGCCACATCAACAGAAAACGGCGTAAATGTGCAAGTTTTCAATGATTTATGCATGATACTTAATGCCTTCTTAATTACGTTTTATGTAACCTCCAGACTCCTCTAAAACACTCGTTTTATACATATTCTGTTTGGAATCTGCGCCAACAAGCAACAAACAAAAAAAAAAAAAAATGGCAGCTGGAGCACTTTTAGCACACAAATCATATTCACAGGAGCAGCAAAAAAAAAAAAAAAAAAAAAAAAGTGAAGGGGAAATCGCGAGGAGGAGGGAAGGAAAAATTCCCAAAAATGTGTAGCAACTGCTTCAAGGGGCGAGGAGGCGCCACTTTCACTTCGACTTCCACTTTCACTGCGTGCTGCCATGTGACGCTACGTGGTCTTCGACTGTACCGAAATCCATTTTGGGGCCTCTTGTATATGACAGCGCACATACATACACACGTTCGGATATATGTATGTATACACAATGAAAGGCCTCCCCGCCTCCCTTATGCTCCCCTCTGATGCATTGAAATGCTGGACCAAAACACAGTTACACATGTACGCGTATTCATGCAGTACCCATTGTCTCATGTGGATGGGCGTCAGCTGGGACCTCGACAGAGAAGCCCCAGAGAGAGAGAGAGAGAGAGAGAGAGAGAGAGAGAGAGAGCGAGAGAGAGTGACTGACTAAGTGACAGAGAAAGAAAGACAGAATGAGACAGGGAGAGAAAGAGAGGAACATCTGAAAAAGCAAAAGTCATGGTTGATGGACCAAAACAAGGTTAAATCTCAGTTACGTGATGTTTGCACAACGGCTTAACTTTTGCATTCCATTTAAATCAATTAGAAAATTCATTGAATTGATGTTAATTAATCAAGTTTGGATTAGGACTAAAGAACTAATGAATAAATCTTGTGTTCTTGTGCTAGCGAAAAAAGAAAACAATAGTGAATATCAGATGTACAAAAAGAGAGTTGAATTTAGACGGGATGAATTGAAGTCCGAAATCATTTAATAATTTGTTGTTAAGTTTTTTATATGTTTAACCTAGCCACTTATTTATTTATTTATTGGAATAAATAGAAAAATCTAGCAAATAGGAATATTTTGAGAAAAATATTAAATTATTTTAATGTTCTTCAATATATTCATATAAAATAATATGTATTAAATCAAATTTAATTGAATTAAAAATAATTAAAATAAATTTAACTATATTTTACCATGAAATTTAAATGAACTAAAATAAAATTGAAAATTTCATTTAACTGCATGCTAAACAAATTATTCTTTAAGAAGAGCTTTCATTTAAAAATTTTTTAAATTGAAAAAATTTAAATCATAGTTAAAGTGCATAAAAAATATAATCAAAATTAAATTTAAAATATTTTTAAACTAAAGTGAATTGAAATATATATAATGAACATTAAATTTGGCTAAAATTAGGTTCATCTAGAAACCAAGTGATTGATTGAACTAACTTAAGGCAAAGATCAACATCYGACTCAACTATATATAAAAATCTAATTATCTATAAATCAATCAATCATTCACGCACACTTCGCATTCAATCAATCAATCGTTCATCGATCATCGCACAATGTGAATTTATTTATTGTTGTTTATTTTTATTGATTTTTTTTATTTTTATTTTTTTTCATAATTGGGGCAAAGCGCAACAAATCAAACACTTGAGCTTCTATCAAGGTGTTGCCCCATCAATAAGTGTCTCTGTCTACCAAACACTTCATCAAAGCTCTTATCATAGCATGTATATAATACAAAATTAAAATCGAAAAACAAAGAAAATCAAAACACAGAAGCTTCTCTAACTTCGTTCTGTAAATGAACGATTTATGGATACTCCTGAAATCGATAAATATTCATGACCTTATTTATGAACTTGAGAATTACTTGAATATTATATTGATTTTCATAAACTTCCATCTTAAGTTAAGATATAATACTAATATAGTTTAGTGCGACTTCGTGGAAATGGAGAGAGATATGGATACATTTAAATATAGTCTTATGCATGCTTTATAGATAGATCTATAGATCTTCTGAAGAGACAAATAGACAAGGCTATATCGACTCAGCCCGGATTCAACTGCCCCACATACGCTTGAAGGCAACCAATATGCCAAGCTTTTACAAATTTCCAATGGATTCTAGGGTATAAAAATGCACGTGCATATGTCTTATCTCTAAGGGGAATTTGCTGAATCGATCAAAGCGTAACGATAAAAAAAACATCAATTTAAATCGGAATATACTTTTGAAAAAGTTTCGTCCATACTAATTAAAGTTGAGTTGGGTTGGGAATGATAATATGAGAATCGAGTAACCAGTGTTGTATAATTCTATGTTGTTGAGTACCGTATGGTCATCAATAGTGCTGTACAACGCCAAGCAGTCTCAATTGGCCCCACTTGGCATTGGAAATGACTCAGTGAACTGAGCTGCAATTTAGCAAATATCTCTGTCTACGTCAGTATTAAGCATAAGAGCCGTTAATTGCGAACAGAGTGTTGGCAAATGCCAAAGGCATCGTAATTACTATTTCTGCAAATAAAAACAACATAAGCTGATAAATCATATTGAGAGCAAATCAATTTCAGATGCCACGTAATCGCATATAGCTCAATTAGTTGGTCAATCGGCTCGATGTTGATTTAACATAAATCGCTAGCTCAATATGCAAGAGGAATTTCCATTCAATGCACACACACACACACATACACACACACACATGCTCTCTCTCTCTCTGTCTCGCTCTCTAACTCCAGCATTGTGTTTCTGTCTCTGTTGCTCAGCTATTTACATCTGATTGATATAAATGAATGTTGGGAAGTGCGTGGGGCAGGAAGCGAAATGCCTTGAGGGCATCCAGCAGCGCGCAGACTAAAGCTAGCTGGCATTAGATGCCAAGCCAAAGTAGAATAGCGAATAAAGACATCTACATGACAACAATGTTGTCACTCACACAGACACACACACACACACACACACACACACAGAGAGAGAGATATATAGGCAAGCTTGGTATGTGTGTTTGGTATTTGCCTTTGCGCTGCTGACAGCGTCTAAGCGGTCATTTCATCATGTCTACTTTACAACACCGACAGAGAGGGAGAGAGAGAGAGAGAGAGAGAACAGAGACACCCGCATACACTATGTTATGCATGATATGACAAATGAAATATGAGAGTAACTTCACCTAAACAAACAAAATGACGGCTAGCATATTTATCAATAGAAAAGGGGCTTAACAGTGAATAGAAAGAGCAAAACAAAGAGGAAGAGGAAGTGGAAGAAATTTATGCAAAAAGAGTGTGCGAATGAGGAAGAGCATAATTACTAGCATAAGAAACATACGCGGGAGCAGAAAGAGCAACCAATAAAAGCTTTGTCTGTATTTACCCCCTGCTAGATTGATTGATTGAGCTTTTGATTGACGATCAAATTTTAAGATCCAGACTGATCGAACTATTATTTCCGATCAGATAAATACATCAATCAATTTCGAAACTTTATTTATCTAATTATTACGCAATTGATTGACTGGGTAACTGATTGATAATTGATAAGTAGTGATAAGAAAAAAAAAATACATACAAAAAGGATAATCAATCGGGGTTCAACTAAGAGAAAACCGAGCTGCTGTGGAGAGCATGCAGCTATATTTGTATCGCCTGATTGATCGATTGACTGGTTTACCAACTGTTTAATAACAGTTAACAATTAATTATAAATTGTTTATAAATTAAATATACTCTATTGAACCAACATATTTTTAGATACTCTCAATGTCCTGGCGCTCTCACTTCTTTCTTTCTCCCTCGGG